TTTTAGAAAGTACTTAGTCCCAGGCATTTTATTATAGCAACAGGAAAAGGACTAGTATAGTCCTCAAAAGATAAATCAGAGTTTGGGGGAAAAAAAAAAGCAAAGGAGAAAGGACATCCATGTTTGCTTTCATCTCCAAGACATTTTCATCTAGACATTTTTGCCTAGTCTTCAGAACCCTTCTCCAGAACCTTTGTTCCAACTTGTGCAGTATTTGCCAGTGGACAGCACAAGGTGCAGCTCCATTATTTTTCCCTTCAACATCAGTCCTGCAGGATTAGCTAAGCAGGGAGCTGCCATGCCTGAAGTTGTGGCTGATTTTGTAAACTGAGAATAAGAAAAAATAACAGGCAACTTTAAGTTCTGACAGTTCAAGCTAAATGACTGGATATAGTTATACAGTTTACAGTCTCTGCAATGGAAGGGCAATTGTTCTTAGAAAGAGACAGCCTTAGGCCTCTTACTTGACCTTGAATAAGTTACATGATCTCTCTGAGGCTCATTTCCCTCCACTTGAAGCCAGAAAGGTGACACCTAGTACTGAGTTTTGTTATAAGGATATAAGAACTGCAAACACAAGATACATTGTAGTCATTTGCTACAGGAAAAAGTCAAGAAGTCATGTGAACATGAATAAGCCAATCCTGATCCAAAGGGCAACATTTTGAGACAGTAGTATAGTTGTTGTTAACATTTCTACCTACAGTTTGTTAAATCCTCTGATTAAAATTGTGATCCTGTTTGGTAAATCCTCTGACTAAAATTGTGATCCTTGGCGCTTGTAGCCAAGCAGCCTTATCTACTTCAGTATTGAATATGCTGTCATATTTTTAGATAACTTAACATAGCATATTTATTTTTAGAGAACCTACACACCAATATAGATTGACGTAAAAGCATTTCATTTTGAAAATACTCGGTCCTGAACCTCTAAGAAATGACTGGCATTGTCATCTTTTAAAATGAGGCTTCTCAAAATATGTATAAAATTAATTTTACAAAAATTAGCACTGAAGGTTAAGTAAGGAGGAAATTTTGAAGATGGTAATATAAATGAAGTTAAGAAACTCTTAAGCCAGGCATAGTAGGGCAAACCTGTTATCTGAGCACTCAGGATGCTAAGGCAGAAAGAACACAAGTTCCAGGCCCGCTTGGGCTACCTAAGGAGACCTTGTCTCAAAAATCCAAAGGAATAAAAAATTGAGGTTTGTCTCAAAAAATCCAAATTTAAAGACTTGGTTTTTGTTTTGCTCTGTCTTAACATGGTGTGTATGTGTGCATCATAAAAAGGCATTGGAGTCCTGCATTTCCAAATTTTACTTAATCAGAGAAATAATGTGAACCTTCTATTGTCTTTTGGTGAAGACATTTTCCTAGACACAATAACACAGGTGACAGGGCTGGTGACATGGAAAGAAGAGAAAGGAATGGAATCCAAGAAGAGATGCACTAAGTCAGGGCACACCTACAGAGGCAATGGTAGCTTGATGCTACATAGACATCAGTAAGGCCAATGGAAAGCATGTGTTTGCTATCATGATGCAGACACTAAAACACTCTGAGCCTATGAATGTCTGCAGGCCCTATTCATCACGAGGTGCCTGTATTCTAAGGAGATTATTTTTTTCATTTTTATTTCAAAAGTAGCGCCACATACATGAACTTAAAAACGCCTTCAAAGATATTAATTCATGAAGGGAGAGCAGAAAAGATGCAGTCTGTTCAGAACAGAAGGTGGCTGTTCATGTCTCTTTTGAGCAGCACTACTAATATGCCTATCTCAAGGTTAACAGACGAGATCTTAATAATGTAGTGCTGTGTGTTATCCACAATTGTGGGCATAAGGACATCTCACACCTTTCAACCACTTAGGTTTTACCTGACATTGTTCCATGTGCTTTATGCATAGCTCCTTATTTCAGCCTCATAACCGTCCTATTATTTTCCCCATTTTACAGATGAGTCACAGAGAGTTTAATCCAAGGGCCCCTTGGTAAACTAATGAGAGACAGAGAAAGACTGAGTTCCAGGTTGTCTTGTTCTAAAATCCAACTTCTTAACAACTATGCAAACTCAGTCTTCAAGATCTCTAGTTCCCATTTGAGATATGTATCCATTTTGATTGATTTTGGATGCAAGTGACAGAAGCCCTGGCTAACAATATCTAGAATAAGTATTTTCCCACAAAATAAGAAATCTGGAAGTATCTCCTGGCACTGATGCTGTTACTCAGCAATGTCAGCGCCAATTTCTCCCTTCATGATGACAAAATGACTCTGCTGAACATAGTAGATAAAATGGAGAAAAGGATGGCATTAGTTTCTAAGGTCCCTTTAATCAGGAAACTAAATTCTGTCTAAAAAGCTCCTTCTATCTTATTTCCATAACAATATCATATGGTCCTGTCTGGCTGCAAAGGAGTGTAGGAAAAGAGATTTTTTTCCCCTAGACCTAAGAGGGAAGTGGAAAATCTGTTTGGGAACAGGTGCTGGCTTAGGCAGCCAACAGTATCAGCCACAAGTGGTTTGGATTGGTCATGAAAATACCAATAGAACTTCATCATAGAATGTGTCACCTATGCCGTGGATCCTAAGAGAGCAACAGTTAGAGTTCACCACAAAGCCAGAAATGAAGTGAAGACTCATATTCTCTCTTATAAGTGTCTGCTTACCTCCATTTCCAAACATGTGAAATCATCTCAATGCTTTTCCTGATCCAGAATTTCATAAAAATTCATCATTTGACTTTCACACACTCATTTTATCTACATTATTCTTATTTGCTTTGGTAAACTGATATAGCCTTACTTAGTAAATCAAAATGACACTTTTCAATCCAGTTGTAAAACTGAATTGCAATTTGTCAGTAATTAAAAATGAAGAAAGTATGTGTATATATATATACACACATATGTGCATACACATATATGTGTATATGTAATGGATTGTTCACATTTATAATCTATGTGATTTTCCAGTTTTCACTGGCTTCTCTAAGTCTTTCTACAACTTTAATTGCAATTTTTTTAATGTATTTTTATCATGGCACTCAAACTCAGAAAACCTGTTAAGGCAACTACATAATGCAATGTAAAAATCCAGTTAACATATTGCTATGGAAACCAGGAAATAGAAACAGTACTCTAATCATTCATTTAGACAACTATAGCTGTGTATGTGTGTGTACGTGTTGTGCATGTGTGTCCTCACCACATGAGTGTATATACACAGAGTTAAGTTATTCACCTTTTGTTGAAGGCTGTTACCGAACAACTGTTATTGTCCAAGTGTAGATTAAGTAGCCTATAAACAGTAAATCAACATTTTGACATGGACTGCCTTCAATTACTTAAGCCATTCAATATCAAGACACTGGACACTTTTGTTCTTTCAGGCATGCCCCAGGTGAGGGCTTTTGGCACGGTACGAGGAGACTTGTTTGCGATTTGAGAGTTCTAACTTTGCCTCCTAGGAACTATTAGTTTCTTCATCTGTGAAATGATTGGATGCAGGGCTCTCGTCATGTATTTTAAGGATTGAAATCCTTTCCTGTGGTCTTTGGTAATACGTTGGGTACGTTGGTTGGTTCTTCATGTAGTAATAAGTAGCAATGAACTTGCACAACAACTAACAATAACAAATTCTCTTCTCAGATGTTGACGTTATTGAACAAACTCCGATGAGAGCTAGGCAACCTCTCAAGTTCAAACAGGCAGTTTGTATTTTAGGTCTTATTACTTTTGAATATTTACTTTTGTAAGTCAGTGTCAATTTTTGTATATGAAATACAAAATAAAATTATCCTAACAAATGAATCCTAATTCAACAAAGCCCCAAACTTTAAACACACACACACACACACACACACACACACACACACACACACACAGAGCTATTCAAGAATTAAACTTTTGTTCAGGCTTGCTTATTTGCCCAGTTATTTAATCAGTCTGCTCTGCCTATGAAAAAAAAAAAAGTTAAACTGAAGCCTCCACGGAGTTCACCTCCTCTGTGTGCTTCCTTCCAGAAATCCGAGTTATTATAGTAAAGGATAATGGTTGCATAATGAAATCGTTGGGACAATTCGTCCATCCACTCCTACCATGTCTGTGACAATGAGCTCCTTGTTTTCAGCAGTACCCACATCCCTGGCCACCCGGGAGAGTGCCCAGAGGCTACGGGAGGCGTGGGAGAGGCCGCGGGCAGAGCCTGGGGTACACCGAGGGTGCACTGTGCACTAGGGGTGTCTTAGAGGTACTCAGGGTAGGGTGGGGTGCGCGTTCCGCACCCCGCGCGCCCCGCTGGGTGACACTCGCTACTTGAGCGCCAGGAGGGGGAGACTCGATCCTATTTATCTCCGGGCTGGGCTAACTTCAGCCTACCCCGAATCTGGGGGAGGAGAAAGCACGCAGCCGGGTCGAGAAAACTTGTGCACTTTAGAAACTTTCACCTTGTCGTGGGCGGGGGAGGGGTGGGAGGAAACGCGACCCCCGCGGGGGTCAGGCGTGGCGCCCGGGCGGCAGGAAGGGCGGGGTGGGGGGGGCCGGCTTCCCCCTCTAGGTGGTGCCAGTCCCCCATCTCAGCAGTCCTCCGACGTGGCGGACGAACAGTGAGAGAGCCAGACAGACGGACAGACACGTGTTGGGAACGGCCGGGCGCCAGGGTCCACTGACCTCGCTCGCGCTGCCTCGGGTCTGGACGCGCCCGGGGCGGTGCGCACCGGTGCCCGGCTGAGTCACCCGGGGCGGAGAGAGTGCGGAGGGCGGGGGGGGGGGGGGGGGGACGGACAGACGGACGGACAGAGGGAGGGGCCTGGGCTCGGCCCCGGCCGCAGGTGGCTCGAGCGGTCCGCAGCGTCCCGCGCGCTTTGCGACCAGATGCGGAGCCGGGGGGAGCGCGTGAGCCAGATGCGGGGCGGCAGCTGAGCGGCGGCGCGGAGGCGGGCGCGCGGGGGGTCCCTGCGCGCGGCTGACTCCGCCGCCGCGGGGGTCCTGAGCACCGCAAGGTAGAAACTCCAGCCGCGTTCGCATCCCGCACCCCACCCTCTCCCCAGCGCTGGGCGCTTCTGCTTTCTTTGTTCCCTGAAGAGAACCTGGCTGCTGTTCGAGAGGACAAGACCGCCGAGGTGGGTGAGAGTTGAAAGGCTTGGGAAACTGAGGGATGGGGTCCGGGGCTGGATGCTTTGGGGCGTTGATCCCGAGGGCCACCTGTGTGACTCGGGGAAGGGGGGCACTGGGGCCTGTCACGGCCCGGCAAGTTTCAAGGCTGTGATCGGACTCGGCCCGTGGAGAAAGGGATCGGTCACCTTATCCGGGGTGATGTCGCCGGCCAGCCGTTTCCTTGTCCCCAGCCCTGCTTTATTTGTATTATGTAGAGGTCTTCCCCCAGAGGGCAGGTGTTTCTGGGGCCGGTCTGAAAAGTCTTCATTGCTGCCAAACTCCGGGGGCTTGTGATCGATCATTTTCAATGGCACTTTATCTCTTTGCTGGGGTTCGGTGGAGGTGAAATAGATTATAAGCAGAGGTCAGCCGTCTGGCTGGTATGTGTGCTGACCCCTCCTCATTAAGGTAGCGATGTAAGTACATTGCAGAATTTACTCCGAAGTGTGGTTTCCCATTTCCTACCTTTTATGTTTTCCGAGAGCACTTTGCTAATTTGCCCGTTGGCGAGGGTTCCCGAAACGCATGCATGAATAGCTAGCTAGCTGCCCAGTGCATTTTCCTTATCACGGGCTTCTGTTCAAAGGAGCCCTTGGGCAGGATGAAATACAGTCGACTGTCTCCGGTAAAATAAAGGGTACTCTAATTGCCAGTGGTCCGTGAATCTGAGATTGTAAGAAGGGACACTGGAGAGAGTATAGAATGAATTTTAAGAAGATTGTTCACATTTTGTAGCGTTGGGTGGAGGTTTATTTGTCACTTCTGTCAGCCAGACACATGCACATTGCCATGCAAATGGATTCAGAAAAAAAAATATTTCCTTTACAGCTAAAGTATTATAGCTGACTAATGAATTTTTTCTGCATGAAGACGATCTGAAAATGATGTACATCGTGTTTCTCTTTGCTACTGGGTCATAAATTGTGGGTTTGTGTGAAGAGTGCAAGTGGTGTTTGGATTATTTACAGGTATATAGCTTTCCTTTCCAGTTGGAAGCTTATTTGAGCTTTGTTCTGAATAAGTAAACTTCCATATTGAAACCCAAGTGTTTTGGTCTTGTTCATGGCAAATCTCGGGTGTATGCTGGTAATGCACTTAGTGTTTTATTCTTTTGGAACTGATTAATAACAAGCAATTTACATCATCAGAAATCTTTTGTGGTACCAAAAAATTGTCTGATTGCTTATAGAAGATATGGGTGTTTTAAGATTAGCGTTCAGTTCTCAAACTTAACAGTGCATGAGCCAATAATTTTTAATCTACACATATTTTGCTATTAACAAGATTTATGGCGTCGATGAGATGACCTATCAACTACTGTTTTTCTAAGAGTGCTTTTTTTTTTGATAATTTGCAGTAAAAGTCCCATTAGATATTTACTAAATACTTTCAGAATTAGAGGATGAGGTTTGTCTTCCATGATAAAAAAAAAATGTGCCAGAATAACGTAAAGTAGTAAATACGAAAGATTCCAATATTTTCACTACTTTTATACCTCCACTAAGAAAAAAGAGCATTTTCTAAGCCAAAGAAACACACAAGTTATACATTCCTCTTAAGGCCACCTTAGCAAATGTCCACATTATTCTCAGTTTTTTTTAATTGTTTAATGAGGGGTAGACTAAGAAGCACATTTTAAATATCACTTTCCAAAGCTGTTGTTACAAACAAGTAGTTCAAAGTAGGACTAGCCTATTTTTTTCTTTTATATATCTATGTAAATAGCCGCAAATAAATGTTTTCTCAAATGTGGTCATCTCCAAGCAAAGTGAATAAGTCAGAAGGGCTGACGTGCTCTCAGACACACACAAAGTGTCATTGCACAGAGACACGCCCAGGCCTAGCCACAGCTCACCGGCTCAGGTCACTTCCCACCTCTCTGCCTGCTCCTTATCTCTTTTGTTTTGTTCACAGTTCACCTCTTTAGTCCCCATATCTCCAGGCCTCTAACCTTGGTTTTTTTCACTGTCACCAAGTTCAGTAGTTTCTGCAGAGCTATCTCTGACTCTTTTCCCTGTCCCTAAGACTTTGATTAGTCTGCTATGTTTATTCATAGAGTACCTAATTTCCTTCTTGTGTTCCCCTGGGAGAGAAAACATATGCAGAAACTCACCTGCTGGGGAATTGGTTTTCGTGTCTTGCTGGTGGATGTTGAAACTTGTGTGTTTGCCACTAAACCCTCAGGGCAGAGTTTTCTTCCTGGGCTTTCTCAGTTCAAACTAGTCACCTCTCAGTAATAAGGGATAGGTGCAGTTACTAATACCAACTCAGAATTACTTTGATTCTGTGTTCTTAACAGACATCGTCTTGCTGCCAGGCCCACATTTGCCTTACTAAAAATAGCAAAAGGACTGTACTATGAGCATCATATGTGCTGGTACTAGGAGAATATTGTTTTTAAAGGAAAAAAATGTAAATCTCTGCCCTGGAAGAGTTTATGATCCACTTGTGCAGACAGATGTCACTCATGTAAGGTCAAACTCAAACTCATAATTATTAACAAGTTTACACAAGTTCTTATGAAGTTATTTATTTATCATTAAATAATAGAATTTTTGAAAGACTGAAAGATGGGAAACTAAAGAAATACCTTGGACTTTTAAAATTTCTTGTGCGTGTTTCATCTTTGTGGGACTATACGTTGGATGTACCTAATATTAATGTCATATATTAATGTCTCCTAAGTTACAGACAAACAGCTTGAGCCTGGCTCATGCCATCCACAACTCTCCCCAGTCACCAACTAAGGTCTAGTCTTGGAAGAATCTCTCAGTGAAGCAAAGGATAGAATAAATAAAGAATGTAGCATTGCAAGTTACATTCAAGTCTCTCTGTCTCTCTCTCTGTATCTCTGTCTGTTTCTCTTATATCTTCCTCTCCTTACCCCCCACTTCATTCTTTCTCACTTTCTATTGTGACATATACCAAAAAAAAAGAAATGAAAAGGTTTCATTCATATGTATGGGGTGTTCTACTCCTGTTATCAGATTGAGAGCTGTAAGTAATTTTGTAATCTGCCCTCCCATCAGAAAGCTTGTTCTCAGATATCTCTTCAGCTGTGTTAAAACAGTTTAATATAGCCCCCTTGGGTTTTGTTTCAATAAAAACATCCAGTAAAGCCTGACTACTTTGCTTTTCAAGGGACAAAATGAAGAAAGTGTTTTTATAAGCTGTAAAACATAATTGAGAGAAAAATCACACATGTGGATTTGTAGCAGGAGGTGTGCGTCTTGTACAATGAAGAACAATTAACTTTGTTATCACACAGCCAGACACATGTATTTCCTTCTATGGTAGCATAAATGTAGGTTTTTGTAGGTTGCTTTTGTTTATTTTAATTTCTGTAATAAATTTAAGTAATCATAGGGCCATATGTTTTACCTAATGAGTGATATACTTCTCCTAATATAAAATGGGATACATAATGGGTACAAAATATGGCTAGAGAACCACGGGTTCTGAGAAAAAGCCTGCTTCCTGCTCTCAAGAATGCAGTCATTCATTCAGAATAATTTATTGAGTGCCTACTAAGCATAGTTTTAGATTCTGGTGTTTCAATGAAGAGCTATTGAGGGAGGGCAACAATAAAGAAATGCAGAAATAAAATGAATGCTAAGCAGTGAAAAGAGCTGCAGCTAAGCAAAAGCATTGAAGGAGAATAGAGACAGTCAAAGATAAGAGGGTGGTGACTGGAAGGTCAGAAGTCAGTAGTGGGTGAGATTATAGAAAGCCTCACACCAAATTGTGGCCTTTAAGCTGGAGTCTTGAAGGAGATGAAGAGATAAGTCATGAAGCAGCTATTGGGAGCCCTTGTGGAGAGGGCTCATCTAAACTTGTTTTTTGGTGTTGGTTAGTAAGTTTTTGTTTTTGTTTTGTAAATTTGTACAGTGAACAGCTTGTACAGCCAGCTACCAAATCTTTATTTTGGAGTGGAGTTCTGAGCAAGGCCTGCTAGAATCCCATAGATGAAGATAGAGAGGTAGACCACATACCTTGGCTTTTGGGGTATAGAACATTTTGTATTTTTCTGAATTCAGCTAATTCATCCCAGATCAGAGATCATTCAAACAACTTTCCTTGTTTCCCACACTGAGCCTGACCCAGGGTGATTTGTTGAGAGTTATATTCATGACCTTTTTGCGGATCCCTTCCAAAGAGTCCAACTAGAGGCTGCAAAGGAGCAGTTGACCTACCTCTATCTTTCCTTTCCCTTTCCAGTTTTAAGACACTGCGTTAGACATTCCTCCCTTACTTTCTCTATTATGACTTACCTAAGTCCCATGTGATTATATGCAAACAGGCAACTTAAAAGAGCTAAACTAACCACTGACACACTGTTAGAAAACGCTCTACCGAACTGGGGAATGGTCACCCCTTAGCAACATCCCAAAGGCCCCATGTACTGCATGAGCTCATCTGGTAGTATCTTTTAAATGTTCAAGAGAAGCTAGGCATCTCCCAATTTAGAAATACTGACTCAATGTCTTTAAAACACTACACATTCTAGAGACAGAGACCCAGAGAGACTCATTGATACTCTAAACCTCAACCATGTTTGCCCTGGGATTTCTGCACACCATCAAGTATTCTAGAATTCAGCCATGACCACAAAGCCATTTATTTTCTAGAATTTTCCAAATCTACCCCACTGGAAAATTAATCAATGCATATTTTAAAAAGGATATATTATAATGCATTACATATAGGCACATACTTATTTTTCTGGAGAGAGTTGAACCCAAGACCTTGCACATACTAGGCGAATGCTCTAGCCATTCAGTAGTCCTTCTGTTCTTGTTTTGACTTTGAGAGTGGATCTCAATGACTTTGCTCATATTGGCCTTGAACTCAAGATATTCCTTATTTCTGCTTCCCAATTAGCTGAAATTACAGACTTGATCTACCATGCTTGGCACCAATTATTTTTCCAAATTCATCAGCTCATACACTTCGCATCATTCTATGT